TTTTCTAAAGACCTTAAAGGCTTCACTTTTCATAGTTAGGAAAAATGTCCAAGTATATCTAGAGTAATCATCAACAATCACAAGGCCATATTAATTTCCACCAAAGCTTTTGATCCTAGAAGGTCCAAATAAATCTAAATGTAATAATTCTAGGGGTTTTGAAGTGGAAATAACATTCTTTGATTTAAATGATGATTTTACTTGTTTACCTTTTTGACATGCATCACACAATCTATCTTTTTCAAATTTTAACTTAGGTAAACCAATAACTAAGTCTTTTGAAATCAATTTGTTCAAATGATGCATATTTATATGAGCCGCTCTCTTATGCCATAACCAAGGGTTCTCTTCCTTAGCAACTAAACATGTTATGCTAGAATCATGTAAACAATCCAAATTAATCAAGTATATGTTATTATGCCTAATACCTTTTAATTCTACATTTTCAAAATCTATCAAATGTATGGTGCAAAATTTACTTTCAAAGATTACCTTAAATCCTTTGTCACATAGTTGACTTATACTAAGGAGATTATGCTTTAGTCCATCAACAAGAAGCACATCCTTAATCTCCAAAGTGTTTGCACCACCTATATTTCCAATTCCAAGAATTTTCCCTTTGTTGTTGTCCTCATAAGTTACATATCCTTGTTCTTTAGCTTTGAAACTCACAAATTTCGTTTTATCACCGGTCATATGCTTTGAGCATCCACTATCAAGATACCACATAGACTTCTTAGATTTGGAAGTTTCCTACAAAACAAGAACATAGTAAACTTAGGTCCCCATAACTTTTGGGTCCTTGGGGTTAGAGACAAACAAATTATTTATTAATAGGAACCCAAATGTATTTACCTTTAGGAACACCAAAATGTTTTATTTTACATTTATTTGAAGTGTGACCTTGTTTCATACAATAAAAACATGCTTTAGATGTAACTTTTGAATATGATGAATTTTTAACCATAGATGTTCTAGTTCCTTTTTCTACCCATACTCTTTTATTTTTCCAGGCTTTTTCAAAGGAACTTGATAATTTACACTATTTTGAGCAAAAACAATTTTATCCTTCTTAAAATCACTTATCTCCTTTTCGGCTTTATCAAGTAGATGATTAAGAATATCTATGTCATATTCATACTTTTTACAAGTTTCACATGCTAAGTTCTTATCATCATTCTCATCTAAACATACAATTTTCGTTTCTAAGGATTCCTTTTCTCCTAAACATGTGATTTTCGTTTTTAATGAGTCAATTTCCTTTTCGGATCTACTTAAACTCTTCTTCACAACTTTATATTCATTTTTCAAATCCTTAAAGGAACTAAACAATTCATTGTATGCATTTTGTAGTTCATCATAGTTATTATCATCATCACTAGAAGATGAGTCGGAATCACTTACCTCAAAATCGGAAGATATGTTGTCATTTGCCATTAAGCAAATATTGGCTTCAACTTCCGAGTCACTTGATTCCGAACTTGAATCACTGTTGTCCCAAGCAATATAGGCTTTCTTCTTGAAGAACTTTTTGCCTTTGATTTCGTCGTTTTTCTTGTTTGGACATTCGGTCTTTACATGTCCTGCTTCACCACAACCATAACATTTTATATTTACGAAAGTACTTTCTCTTACCTTTCCCTTACCTTTGAATGGATGCCTTCCTTTTGCTTTCATGAATTTGGTGAACTTCTTTATCATAAGACTCAATTCTTCTTCTTCATTTTCCGAGTCTTCTTCTTTCTTTTTATTTTTACCTTTGGAAATTTCGGTTTTGAAGGCTAAGTTCTTCTTTTGATATTGTCCTTCTTCTTCATTTAGCCTTCCAAGCTCAAGCTCATGCTCTCTTAGCTTTCCAAAGAGCGCAGCCATTGACATAGTGACAAGGTTTTGTGACTCCGAGATGGCTGTCACCTTAGGTTGTCATTTCCTATCCAAAGATTTTAAAATTTTAATATTCAATTCATCAACGTCAAAGATTTTACCTAATCTAGTGAGATGGTTCACAATATGAGTGAAACAGTTTTGAACGTCAAATATCGTTTCGCCTTGTGGCATCCGGAACATCTCGTATTCTTATATTAGAGAATTTTTCCGTGCTCTCTTAACGTCGTCGGTACCTTCGTGGGTCACTCTTAGCATTTCCCACATCTCTTGAGCACTTTTACAAACAGAAATCTTGTAAAACTCGTCAAGGGTTAAAGCAGATGAAATTATATTTCTAGCCCTAACGTCAAATTGTGCTTTTCTGTTTTCCTCTGTTGTCCATCTAGAAAAAGGTTTAGGAACATCAACACCGTTCTCAGTAACTTTAGGAATATAAGGACCGTTTAAAATAGCGTCTCAAACGCCTCTATCAATAGACTCTAAAAATATTTGCATTCTTATTTTCCAGAAAAGATAATTTTGACCCGCAAAAAGTGGGGGTTTGTTGATAGACGCACCTTCGGCAAAAGTTTGATTTTGTCCGACCATTTTCAAAAAGTTTGAATGACTATCAAAGCAAGCTCTGATACCACTTGTTAGAATCGCACAGCGAAATGTTCGCGTGGTCAGACAAAAACCAAGAGAGGGGGGTGAATTGGTTTCTTAACAAAAATTAGGTTTTCAAAATTTTCCCCAAATTTTACCGATTAAAAAGCTGTGTAAACGTAAATAAGATAGAGATAGAGTCTTACACAGGAGATTTATACTGGTTCGGATCAAAAGACCCTACGTCCAGTTGCTAATCACTCAAACAGAGGATTAACGTTGTCACTATAATCAAAGTTGTTACAAACAGATAACAATTGAAAATACAAAGTAAAGAAAACACCTCTCTTGAAACCCACAAGAGATGAAGAACAACCTTCCCCAGAGACGGCACAATACACAATCCACTAAGAACTCCACTTAGTGATTCTTATCGCTTCTAGCCCACACCAGGTTCCAAAAGCCCCTTTTTCCTCCAACAAACAGTTCCCTGACACTCACAACACTTAACTTTTGTTTGAAAAAAGGTTGTTCTCTTTTCTGAGAGCCTTAGAGAACCTTAAGTAGAGAAATTAGGGTTTGGGAATTGGGATTTTTGGAACTAGAGAGTATTAGGATTAGGGTTTTTGAAAATAGGGTTGATTTGAAGTTGAAAATCAAAATCTGACTGAAATAATCAATTAAATGAAGTGTTAATCGATTATTACAGAGCCAAAATCAACAGAACCCCAAAACTCTCTGTTTTAATCGATTAAAAGCCCTGTTAATCGATTAACAAGTGTGTTAATCAATTATTACAGTGAACAGATACAAAAAATGGTTTTTCTCACTGTAATAATCGATTATTTGACCATTTAATCGATTAAAGCCGAGACAAACTGATAAATTTGAGTTTTTGAAGCTTCTAAAGTGCAGACTATGTACCAGCTATCTTAAACTCTAATATTATAGACTCAAACTAATCAAAACAGAGTTATTACACAATAAAACAAGTCTTCAACTCTCTAAGTTTTTTGTTCTTGAATCATCATCAAAATCAACAAGCTTCATGTCCATGTAAGTTCAACATCAAGTCCTTGAATGTTCAACAAGTTTGTCCTACCCCATCTTCCCTTATGTTATCTAGTCTTTAGAATTTACATTTGTCTACGATCGTCATGGGTTTATTCATCAAAAAGGCAATAACATAAGGGGTGTCGCAAAAAAAAAAAATATATATATATATATATATATAAAATAAAAAATAATATTTAAGAAATAATAATAAAAAGGAAATTACATGTTGAATTAATTGTTTCTCTTGAATAATCGTCAAATTCGTGCTGTTTCAAAATAATTTTCAAGAATTTCAAAAAACAAACAATATATATATATATATATATATATATATAGAGAGAGAGAGAGAGAGAAAAAGAACAAAAAAAAAGGATAACGTTGCAGAATGTCATGCGATTTTTTGGGTCTAATGCAATAATAAAATATAACGAGTTAACATTTTCTCTTGAAGCATTCATGAGGGTGATGCTAAACCCTTCAGTCTTTCCACCCCTTTGGGTCCATGGATTTTTTTTTTCATAGCCCAGAATTAAACAATCTCATACTAAGAAACCCCACTTGACTTGTCTCGTCCGTGTAAAAAAAATGATGAAAAAAGAAAAGTCTGCTAGATTGAAACCTATAAAGGTGGTCAAGGCAAAAAAATAGAACAAAAAGAATACAAAAAATAAAGGAAAAACCAACTCATGTTCGAAGTCATCAATCTTTGCAAAAATAAGACAATCATGATTTAAAATGATGTGTGACCATGTTTCTTTATCGTGAAAAGATATAAAAAAATATCCTTTGTTACCCCCTTTGAGCAAAAATTTAAATTATCTTTCTATCAAATTATCCTTAACACAAGGATTTTTCTCGTAAAAAGTCAACTCATTGTTTACACTAAATGCATGTAAGGCATATAAAAAAAGGAAGAAAAGAAAACCATAAATCAAAGCAAAGGGAGTCAAGAACGAAAAATTTTGCAAAAGGAAATCATAAAATGATGACAAATAGAAAAAAAAGGAAGAAAGCAAAAATATTTGAGAAATAAAATCCTGATCGTAAATGTTGCATTACTTGGGTTGACAATCCTTGTTTCAAATAACTTGCAAACACTGTTTTGAACCTTAATACAATTTTCTTTCATAGCCATAAACCCATAGCCATGTTATAAGCCTAATAAAAGTCCACAATGATTAAGGATTTGTTGTCTGGTTTTACAACACTTGATCCTATGATAAAACTTCTTGGTTAACGACATGGTTGTTAAAAAAACGAAAAAAAAAAGATAAAAAGAAAAAGAAGAATAGAGTTTTGATTTATCATGAAAATGAGGGGTAATCATCTTCATCTCTGTCATTCACACCCTTTGCGTCTCGTTCAAACTGAGCCTATATACCCTTCACTTACATCTAAGCACAACACACACCACAACCCATTCTTAAACTTTTCTCACGTAATCCTGCGCCTCACTCTCCGCGCACCCTTCATCATCCAAGGAGCCAATTCATCATCGCCTCCAAATCATCACTCTCCCAACCACCCAGCATCACCAATCGGCCATAATCGTACAACTCAACCATGAGCAACCCAATACACCCCCCGCGGACCCCCATTTCACTGTGCCAACCTACCTCATTCGTTGAGCTACACCACTCTAAGCCCAACCTTCTCCTTCACCCTCAACTCCAGCCACCGCACGACCACCACCACCTCCATTAAGCATCTCTCGCCTTGACCACACCACCCAAATCACCGTCGTATGCCACCCAATAACCACCATGAACCACCAGCTTAAACCATGTGAATTCTCATCCCACTCATCTCTATCATCACGCACCCTCTGACTAGAGCCACCCTAACCTCCCTCACTACGCCAACAACATCGCGAGGTGCCTCGTTGGGGCCCTAAATTGCCATGTTACGACCACCGTGAGCCCTCTTTTTAGGCCACTGTGTCGTGCCTCTACCTTCACCGCGCCACGCTCACCTTACCCGCGGTCTCCTCCATCGCCAGCCGCTGCCCAAAAATAAAAGAATCTCCAGTAATCAACAAGGTGGATGACTATTAGAAAATCCCAAAATCAAAGAATCCTCGGTGTCACCGTCGTCAGAAGAGGCGGTCGGAACGACGTGATAGTTTTGGATGACTCGCGTTTTTTAAAGAAGTGGTTCAACACCTTTAGGTTGTCCGATAACCGGGCTGGACCTAAATGCGAGGTTTTCGAAATGGTTTCCGCCACTAGTGTTTTGACCTTAAACACTGAAAAAGTTAAAAAAAGAGAAGAAAACATTGGTTTTAGAAAAAACCAACTTTGACAATTACAACCAGAGTTGGGTAAGGGAGTTAGTTACATGTGGGGAAGGTGTTAGCACCCCACAATGCCCCTTTCGGGGTCCCTATGATGGACTAGTTTAGGAAATAAATACTTAAAGAAATTATGCTTTTACCCTATTATTCTTTCTACTTGCAGAATTTAAATGTCTACATGACCTTATTATCTAATGCACATAAATAAAGCGATAAAGAAAGCAGTAAAAGAGAGAGAGAATAGGGAAGGAACCTCCGAAGCAAGCTTTATATTAACCCTTTGAAACTTGAGGACGCTTTTTGGCAGTCCCCGCACTCTACAGGCACGCTCCTCCCGCAAAAGATAAAATCTCACTCTACCGAGGGCTAGACGTCTCAAAAGGAGACTTCCTTAACCGATTTCTACTTTAAATGAAAATTGGAAAGCTCACTCGAACTTTGGAATAATGCCCAGAGTCACTCAAAAATTCCAAAAGGCTTCCTAGAGAGTGGTAGGAGTGAAAATGTGTGAAAAATTCGAGAAATGAGGCTCCTATTTATAGGGAACCGCACTAGGAAAAAGTGGACGGCCGTCCATGGCAAAAAGTGACCATGGACGACCGTCCATATAGAGTGAACGATCGTCCATGGCCAAAAGTTGCCATGGACGGCCGTTTGGGCTAAGTGGACGGCCGTCCATTGCCTTAAAGTAGGCAAGGACAACCGTCTGACTGTCCTGGACGACCATCTGCTGTTTCCGGCAAAATTTTTGATTTTTATTGCCTCTGAAAACCCTTCCTATCTTAAATAGAACCTAGAAAAAGCTACTAGGGACTGAACAAAGTCTTGACCATCTTCGAAACGGGTTATCTCTAGCTTTATTAGGAATCCAGGCAAGATTTGGGGTCTACACCCGACAATCAACAAGCTGGATGACTATTGTAAAAGCCAAAAATCAAAGAATCTCTGGCATGCCAAATTACTACACCAGAAAAAGTAAAAAACTTTTATCAAGCAAGAACTACTCCCCATGGAGACGGCGCGTGACCAAGATTAGTAAGCCACTACCACACAGTTTAGTCCAAGGAAAGGATTTCAAACTAGATAGGGGTTTGTACTCATCGAGTCTTACAAAAGGGGACTTCAAACCAAATGAGGGTTTGTACTCATCAAGTCTTACAAAAGGGGACTCAAACCAAATCTTACAAAAGGGGACTTCAAACTAGATGAGGGTTTGTACTCATCGAGTCTTATAAAAGGGGACTTCAAACCAGATGAGGGTTTGTACTTATCGAGTCTTACAAAAGGGGACTCAAGCCAAGTCTTACAAAAGGGGACTCAAACCAAGTCTTACAAAAGGGCACTTCAAATCAGATGGGGGTTTGTACTCATCGAGTCTTACAAAAGGGGACTCAAACCAAGTCTTACAAAAGGGGACTTCAAACTAGATGAGGGTTTGTACTCATCGAGTCTTACAAAAGGGGACTCAAACCAGTCTTACAAAAGGGGACTTCAAACCAGATGGGAGTTTGTAGTTATCAAGCCAGATGGGGGTTCGCACTCATCACCACAAGGTCAAAAGGAACATCCTGTGTACATCAAAACCAGATGGGGGTTCATACTCATCAAACCAGATGGGGGTCTATACTTATCAAGTCAAGTGGGGGTTTGCACTCATCACCACAGGGTGGAAAGGAACATCCTGTGTACGTCAAACAAATGAGGATTTGTACTCATCAAGCCAGATGGGGATTTGCACTCATCATTATAGGGTCGAAAGGAACATCTTGTGTACGACAAAACCAGATGGGGATTCATACTCATCACTATAGGGTGAGGAAACACCTTGTGGATAACTTTGAAGAAGTCATCAAGACATTCCTATTCATCGTTCGGAGGGTCAGCTACCGCGTCAAAGGAGCATCCGAAGGACGACCCGACAAAATGGTTAACTTCTTCACTTGCCAACCGGTCTTGTGGCACATTTGCCAACAACCGTTCGAACAAGTAAAGGGAGGGCAGCTATAGACCCCAAATCTTGTCCGTCCCAAAATCCCAGACGGCCGTCCTGCCTGACAAAATTTGAGACGACCGTCCTGACCTCCTTAGTGAGTGAGCCTATAAATAGAACGTCAATTCTCACATATTCACACATTTGACACACAATTTCACAGATTCTCATCCTCCTAGACACTTTTAGGTACCGAGTAATCTTTCCGATAGTCCGTTTAGGCAAAAATCGGTTAAAGAAGTCTCCTTTTGAGACATTCGGACCTCGGCAGTTTAATAATTTTATTGTTCAAGGGAGGAGAGCTTGTGTAGTGGGAGGGGACTGCCAAAAAGCGTTCTCAAGTTTCAAGATTTATAAAAAACTCGCTTCGGAGGTTCTTTCCAATACTTTCTCTTTTATCACTTTTCTTTATGTGCATTAGAAATTAGGATAATGTAGATATTTAAATACTGCAAGTAAATAAATAGGGTAAAAGCATATTTTCTATAATCTTTATTTTATGAATTAATCCGTCATAGGAAACCCAAAAGAGGCGTTGTGGGGTGCTAACACCTTCCCCACACGTAACTAACTCCCTTACCCAACTCTGGTTATAATGGCCAAAGTTAGTTTTCTTAAACCAACACCTTTTTTTTTATCCTTTTTCAATGTTTAAGGCTAAAATATTGATGGCGACTCCATATAACCCTTTCTTTTTGCAAAAACCTCACTTTTAAGGGTAGTTCGGTTATCGTGCATCCTAAAAGTGATGATGACCAAATTATGTTTACGAAAACACCAATCACAAACCATCGCGTCGCGACCGCTCGCACCTATCGTTCCCTCCCCTACAGAGGGGATGACAGTGACACCCCCACTAACATCTAGATCTCATATTGATAAACTCAAAAGTGATGTTAAATATTATATATGGGATGATCCGTATTTATGGAAAATGTGTAGTGACCAGGTGATTAGGAGATGCATTCTAGATCATGAGATCGAGTCAATCCTTCATTTCTACCATGTTTCAGCAGTTGGTGGACATCTTGGCTCCCAAAGAACAACAAGGAAGCTGCTTGACTAAGGTTTTTATTGGCCCACCATCTTCAAGGATGCATGGAGGATTTGTAGCACCTGTGAGCAGTGGAGAGAGCAAGAGGTGCCATTACTTGGAGACAACAAATGCCTCAACAACATATGTTGTTTTGTGAGGTTTTTGATATCTGGGGTATTGATTTCATGAGCCTTTTCCTTGTTTCTTTTCGTTTCTATTATATTTTGCTTGTTGTTGATTATGTTTCCAAGTGGGTGGAGGCTAAGGCCACCAGGACTAACGATGCTCGGGTTGTTGTGGATTTTGTTAGATCTCATATTTTTTGCAGGTTTGGCATACTTAGAGCCATTGTTAATGACCAAGGCTCCCATTTTTGCAACAGATCCATGCAAGCCATGCTCCGTAGGTATGGGGTCGTTCATAGGGTTTCTACTCTTTACCACCCCCAGACTAACGGGCATGTTGAGATATCCAATAGAGAGATAAAGAGGATCTTAGAGAAGATGGTGCAACCTAACAGGAAGGATTGAAGTCGTAAGCTTGAGGATGCTCTTTGGGCACACATGACTGCCTACAAGGCACCTATAGGGATGTCTCTCTATCGGTTTGTCTTTAGCAAGGCATGGCACCTATAGGCATGTCTTTAGCAAGGCATGTCTTCTATCTTGTTTATCCTATTTGTTTAGTGGATATGATTGTGTTTACATCAAGGACAATGTCTAATTTAAGTGTAGGGTGGGAGATGTAGGATTGTAGGTTTATATTCTGTTTTGTGTACAATTTTGCATATTTTTCTTTGATTTCTGGGTTTTGTATAGGTAGTAGGAACTTACTTCACTCTTGGATATGAGTTGCTTGATATTCTATGGATTGAAATCCTTGTTCTTCTTTGCATGTCAAGTTAATTTTGAGGTTTGAGAGGTTGATTTGGAAGTGACAGATTTATGCTGTGTGAGGCTTTGAGCCACTCTCTATTATTTCTTTCTTGTGTGTTATGTCTATTGATTGCTTGCACAATGACCTTGACTTGGCTCTTTTTTATGCTTCTTGATTCACATGCATGTTTGGATATTATATAAACATTTTTGTTCTTATAAGCCTCTAGCCAAATGAGCCTACCTTGAATCATTCCCTTTGATAGCCCCTTTGACTCCATGGCCCTTTTTCATTGTTTTATAGCTCATTATAAGCCCTTATCCTGAAAAACCATGATTACCCTATCTTAGGAAATTTTGGAGCTGTGGAATTGTTTTGGGAATGGGTGCTCAAATAGTGAGGGGGTTGTACCTAGTTGTGTTGGTTCTTGGATTCTTCATTTGTGTATATATGAGTGACTATCTTGTTTTTTTTTTGTTCTTCAAAAAAAAAAAGAAATATGTTGGGCATGGACATTGTGTGAGGATTGAAATTGGTGGATTTACTTTCATGTGTATTTTTTACTCATTCCCCATTATTCCTCTATTTTCTTTGGTCTTTAAGCTACTTATCCATACATTCCATACCTTGTCCTTAACCCCATTACAAATTTTGAAAGTCATTTTGATCTTTATGTGCATGTGTTTTTGGTTGTTGATTTTAGAATCTTGTCAAGTCTATGTAGTGTTTGTTTTTCATGTGTTCTTTGAGAGTAAATAGTAGCCTAAACACTTGAGTACAATGCATATCTTGTGACGT